TGAGCTCTTCCTGTGAGCTGCTCTCTGCCTCTGTCCTTTAATATCCAGTCAAAATAAAACTTCTCTTGGACACACTAATGTGATTTTGAAATTATGTGAATCTGATCAATTTACTAAAGACAGATAATATAACTCGTGTGAAAATAATCCTATCTGATCAGACTGATTAAGTGCTGCTGAAGAAGTAAACAGGATTGGTCTGTGTCCTTTATTTGATCCACTCTGTAGTTACACTGTGAATAATGAACCTTTAACACATACAATACATACTGTAAAAAAATTACCTGGACATTAATTACTTTAAAATGACTGGATACACTGGGTGCTAGCATAAATGACCATGTCAAAGAGGATTTATGGACACTCAAATCTTGGGTTACGTTTGTATTCCATATGGCCTCATATTTTGAATAAAATTAGTAATGAAATAAATTTTTATGTGCTTTAGGTTCCTGGCTACTGGAGACTCCTTCAGGACCATCGCCTACAGCTTTCGGGTTGGAGTTTCCATCGTGGCAGGCATCGTGGCAGGTATCGTGTCCTGCATCTGGGAGTGCTTGGTGGAGGACTTCATGGCTGTGCCCACCTGTGATGAGTGGAGATCCATAGCACAGGATTTTGAGGAGCAGTGGAACTTCCCCTTGTGTTGTGGTGCTGTGGATGGGAAGCACGTGGTTCTGAAGGCTCCTGCCAATTCAGGATCACAGTTCTACAACTACAAGGGAACATTTTCTATTGTTCTCTTGGCAGTTGTAGATGCCGATTATTGCTTCCGAGTGATCAATGTTGGAGGCTTCGGGAGGACCAGTGACGGGGGGATTCTGGCCAACTCTGCGTTTGGTCAGGCCCTCCTTTCTGGCTCCCTTCAGCTGCCTCCGGATCGATCACTGTCTGAAGCTGAGCACAGGGGACCCCAACCTCATGTGTTTGTTGCAGATGAGGCCTTCCCTCTCCGGAGGAACCTCATGAGGCCGTATCCAGGGCACATCCTCTCCAGAGAGAAGCGCAATTTCAACTACTGGCTGTCCAGGGCGCGGGTGGTGGTTGAAAATGCCTTCGGCATCCTTTCCACTCAGTGGAGGAAGTACCGACGTGCCCTTGAGGTTTCTCCAGATGTTGCAGAGAAGTGTGTGAAGGCCACCTGTGTCCTTCATAACTTCCTGCGAAGGTCTCAGCTTGAAGCTGCCATGGGGTTGGGTGCCATCACAGGTGGTGTGGAGCCTCGGGCAGGGCTGGGACGTCTCGCCTCAAACAACTCATCCCGGGAGGCCATCGCAGTCAGGCAGACCTTCACCGAGCACTTCTCAGCTGAAGGAGCGGTCACATGGCAGGATTCCATCTACTACACTGCACCCCCACAACTGCTCTTTTCAGAGCCACCACAAACAACTGTTGAGCAAAAGTCCTACATATAAGTACAAGAATGTCTCCATAGCTGTGTCTGTGTCCTGTTTCTCATTCTCCTCAGAGTACTGCAAGATGCACACACACACACACACACACAGTCAGTTTTTACGCACCTGCAAAAACACGCTATTTACATATCCAATAGGAATGCGGAGGCTTCCTTTTGCCCTAGAAAAAATTAAATTTCAAACACAACTTGGCTGGTCATTTCTCCAAAAGACAACCATGAAGCGCCGTCTAAACCTGAAGCAGGCAGTTGCTGCATGTGTACAGTCACCTGAGGGGAGTGAGGTCACTGCTTCTAAAGAGAACATGAGCAGTGAAGATTAACCTTGGAACCAGTACAGGGACGTGCACATGATTATACAGGGGCAGGGGCTCAATTTTTTTTCCAGTCCTTTATACAATATGGAAATAAATGTAAAATGAAAAAACTAAGTACTAATTGAAAGGTAACGAGTGTCCTGTATAGGTGAAAGTGATATGCAATTGCCATTTCTTTTGTGTCAACAAACTATTGTCAACATGACATGATCAAGATGGTAATATTTCAAACACAGATTACCTACATGCTGAAATTACTATCTATCTAACTATCTATTTACAAACTTTATTTCAGCACCATTAAGTCCATATCATTCAACAAGATCAGTATTATTATTATTAATTTGCACAAGGGTCAAGTTTATACATCGAAGCACTGCAACCTAGTTATGTTACTTCATGACTGCATGTTAAAGAATGAAACAAGGCAAAGTTGAGAAAACTTTATAAAAACAATATTTATAACAACAAATATTTACATTTATAACAATAATATAATAATATATATTCATACAACAATAATATAATATTCATAATATAACATAATATTTCTAACAACAATAATGTAATAATTTTTTTACAACAAAAAAATCAAACAAATTTGAGAACGGTTGCAACAGCAGATATAAAAATGTAATACAATCTCAAACTATATACACAAATTCACACATGGTGTGTGTGTGTGTGTTGTGTGTGTGTGTGTGTGTGGGGGGTCATGGCTGCAACAGAGGAGCCTGGCTCGTTCCCCCCCCCCCCGAGGCTGTCACCCCAGCTATGGTGCCACTGTTTCCAAATTTAGGGTGAAATCCTGAGCTTCATAAATCAATTTATGGATTTCAATTTTAACAAACTCCTGAGCCTGGGGTGACAGCCTCGCGAGGGAAGGAGCCAGACCTAGGAGGAACTGCTCCTCTTCTGGATGGCGAGATGTGGGTGCTGGTGCTGGTGCTGGTGGTGTTGGTGGACGGGGATTCTGCTGCCTCCGCAGTGCCAGACAGAGGAGCTCCTCTATCTCCTCCAGTCTCGAGGAGGGAGGCGTCCTCCTCTTCCTCCCTGTCATAAAAAAAAAAACTAATCTGTTACTATTTGTTTTATAATTTCTATGTGAATTTGACCTTGAGCAATTTCATTGAAGATATAGTTAATATTTTTTTCAATACCTTTTGGCCTGGCTGCAGTGGGGCCCGAGGCATTGCTTGCAGTTGATGAGGGAGCAGGAGACAATAAGGGGGCAGGAGAAGGAGACGGGGCAGGAGAAGGTGACGGAGCTGAAGCAGGAGATGGAGCTGGAGCAGGAGAGGGAGCTGAAGCAGGAGAGAGAGCAGGCTTATCTGTAGTTAAAGTTGTGACAAAAATGTTTGAAATCCAAAACTCTGCAATCAGGCAACACTGCAATTCAAATTAAAAATGTTCACAAATTATAGGTGCATGATTTGATCTGTCCATCTTAAATTAGACTACAATGGTGTGTTTAAACCATGAGGGGACTCAAATTTATTTGCTATCTTTTTCACTCATCAACTAACCGTCAAACTCCACTCCTGAGGGGCCTGCTTCCTCAAGCTCTTCAGGCATCCCAGCAGAAGAAGCAGCATTTTCTGCGGTGATGTCTTCCTCGACCTCCCGAGACATGTTGCTGCTTGTCTCCCTCGGGGCCATAAAGGGGTCGAGGAACGACATCACCGCAGAGAAACGCCACTTCTTCTGCTGGGAGGCTGCCGACCAGCTTCTCCCACCTTCCTTCTCCCTCCTCCTCTCCCTCATATAGACGTCCTGCAGCCCCTTCCACTGCTTGCGGCACACATCCACTGCAAAGACACACACACATCGTTGAAACATGTAGCCTAGCAAGCAGGGGCAGTTAGCTATGTTTTCATAAAACAGTCCGCTCACTGAAATAAATAAATAAACAAACAAGCTTACCAGAAAGCCCGACATCACGGGCCACCTTCCCCCATGCTTCTTCTTTGGGGTTGCGGTCCCGGTACAGCCCGCAACCCACGTTGTATAGCACCGGGTGGTAGCTAACGGATGTGATTAGCTGCTCCTCCATTGTATGAATCTTCTTCTACTCCTTGCCTCGCCGGTTTGTTGAAGTCAGCAGAGCCCTGATTGGCTGTCGCGGCACGGGGTCGCGGATAGTCGCTCCCAAAGTTCAAATATTTGAACTTTCGGAGCGACGCGACTTGGCGTCCTGCGACCTCGGCGACGCGACTTCGGCGACGCCTTCAGGTCGCGTCGCAGGCAGCCGGCGGTCGCCAAGTCGTGTCAGGTCGCGGCTGTCCATAGACTTTGCATTGGGAGCCGTCGCTGACGTCGCCGAAGTCGCGTTTGGTCTGAACACCCCTTTATAGTTGAGAACATTTAAAAACTCTGTGGAAATTGGATCAGAGCAGTTATTTATGTGTAAGTTAAAATCACCGGTTAAAACAATCATGCTGTAGGAATTGTGTAAAATTGATAAAAATTCAGCAAATTCACAGATTAAAGCAGTGCATTTCTTGGGTGGTCTGTATACTGTGACACACAAGATAGGAGGACTGCTAAAAACAATTGCACTGTACTCAAAAGTGGTATATTTATCAAATAAAACAGATTTGGTGGCCAGGGTGTTTGAGGTTAAAGCTGCTGTCCCATCTCCTCTTCTACCTCTTCTAGGTGGGGAGGCCTCAGTGAGAACAAATGGTGCATCCACACCCAGCCATGTTTCAGTTAAAAACAAACAGTCCAGTTTGTGATCTAAAATCAGGTCATTGACAAAAAAAGACTTGTTCAGCAGAGAGAGGACGTTGAAAAGGGCCATTTTGATGGTAAGTGGTGGCTGGTTCACAAGTTGTTGTGGTGAGTGGGCTTTTGGAAGGGATCTGAGATTATTGTAGTTAGTGGTAAGATTATGGGTAATTTTCTGCATACGCCGCTCTCTGCTGATGACGGTCAGAATGTGAAATGTTGGACATGAGTTTGCTGGGGCCAGTGAGGAATGAGTGAACACAGGGGGTACAGGGGCTGTCAAGAGTCATGCTTGTGTGGACAGAGTGTGGTAAAATATGTTTGATGTTAGCATCCGTGAGCCTAAATTGTTTGGGTGCAACCCATCTCTTCTAAAGAAGGCAGAGCGTAGCCAGAATAAGTCAAAGTTGGGAATAAATATAAAATTTAGCGCTCTGCACTGAGTTTACAGCCACTCATGCAGGCTCAGGAGCCTACTAAAGCACCCCACTCCCCAACCCAGCGCAGGATTGTTGCTGGCCTGTGTCATTTGTTCCGACATGGACAACCACCTTCTTCACAGATGGGTGGTTTGCAAGCAGGCCAGGGATGACCCGGACTGTCCCTCAACAGCCGGCGTCGAGAGGATGATGAGGATGTTAGGACCCAATTTCCCGGTTGTTCTCCCAGGCTGAGGAATCCTACAAGTCCAAGATCTCGAACCTGTTGGCCAGTGGGATATCCTGGGATGACGGAAAAGGAAGAAGAGATGGGCATGCTGTGCGGCGCCTATCCCTCCCTACTGCTGTCCAGGGCTCCGGTTGGCGTGGAGTGGAGTTCAGCGGTTGACAGCTGTCCGCGTCTCCGCGGAGAGGTGGAAGTGCGAAGCACCGGCTGAGGCTTTGGGTTTCGCTCCTAATAGAGCCCACGGAATGTCGAGGTGGCTCGACACAGTCATTGGCCGCAAAGCAGTAGCTGTAGCCACGAATGTGGAAGTTACTTCCGTAGAGGAAGACGCAACAGGGGCTGTGTCCTCCAACTCTGCACTCAAAGAGGCTGGTGCCACTCCGAGGATTACTGTATCTAAGTACTTCTCTGCATCCTGGATCTGGTATAATGTTGAAATTCTCTGCTCCAGCTCAAAGATTTTTCTTTTAAAATCGGCGCAGCTTTGACAGCCAGGTGAAAGGGTGAGTGGAGCCATGGCCCCTTGGGTGTTCAGTGCTTGATTATCCGAGAATATTAAGATCAAGTGAGCCAAAAAGCAAAAAGGAAAGTCCTCCCACACACTAGAAACGGTTAAAAAATAAAAGTATCTAAAGATCTAATAAAATAGATACTTAAAATCGGTTAAAATCTGCGAAAACGTAGCCAAGTGGTAGAGCAGCCGGGAGGATTTCAAACAGCACGCCGACGTCAACAAATGCAAATGCAAGCACCACACCCTGCAGACATTCACGGTGGAAGCTACAATATATTTGTGTAAAGCAATATTGTGGATTACCAGCTAGTGGGTGACAGCCACGTACTGCTTTAAGGTATATAAATGTGTCCGACGATGGCCGTCGCATACTCACTCTGACTTACGACAAGCGATACTACACATCTCTCTCCAAGTCAACTATTGATGAGAGAATTTGTTAAAAAATGACCAGAATAGATACATACCATTTTCCTACGGGAAAGTAGTAGTCAAATTACACTTTAGACCGCAGCGGGAGAAAATTTAACAGAAAATGTCGCGCACTCCATACAGGAGCAATAATGCAAGATATGTGACATATTATATGAGTCAGGCAGGCGGTGAGTTACCAGGTTTCATCCGGCTGTTAAGCGTGACGTCATTTTGTGAGCGGAGCGGCTTCCGGGTCCATGGGGAATCAGCCTCCATTCACTCTCCATTCAAAACAACAATGGCGGAACCCGTGAATCTCTTTAAAATAACCTCCTTTTTCAGAGGGGAACCACTCAGAGTTAAAAAGGGACTTAAAGCTTTCAACTCGGATAGAGTTATTAACGTAAATTTTAGTGATGGCGAGATGAAGCCTCATGAAGCATCGAAGCTTTCCATCCAATAACTCGACCCCTGGGCCGAAGCTTCATGATCGTGCTTCATTTGCTCTATTGCGCCATCAAATGGACAATAAATGTAAAACGATAAACCAAAGACACCCCGAGGCTTTGGTGCGCGAAGCTTTGAATTCAATGAATGAATGGATGTGATGCCGTGTGTTTGTGATACAATCATAGACTGTATACAGTCTATGGATACAATACAGAAATGATGAAGTTATTTTGTTGTCTTTGTTGTTGGGAGGAAATCTGTAGAATGATAGTTTAGTTGCTGTTTTTGTCTCTGATCAGTTTAAGCAGCAAGGGACATAGCACTGAGGCATTATAACAACAACTCCGCTGGACCCGGAAGTGGAAAAAGAGAACGCGGCTACGTCACGGCTTAACAGCCGAATAGGATCGAGTACACAATGTGGTCAAGGGCTCAGTGGCATTTTTCATAATCTATTTAGAATGGTGGTGCCGGTGTTTAAAAAAGGATTCTGCATGGCTATGCCCCATTTAAAAACTGCCCTCACAAACATTATGGAGGATGTTTTGTCAATCATAGCAAGAAAAACAATGGCCAAAAAACAGGACAGAAACTGGTTGGTGGTGTACACCTGAAAGAGTACAAAAAGGCCTCCTTCCGGAAGTGGGCGTTCTGTGGACAGCGATAAAAGACAGAAAAGAAAGGGAAAAACGGTCAAAAAGAAAGCAACCAGCAAAGCCTGTGGAGCATGGCGAGTGGGCAAGGGGATTGGACAGAGAGACATATTCTAAGCCGAGAAAAAATCTACATCCATGTCGCTGATACACGACCAGCCGGAGGAATGAGTGAAAACAGAGCTGGATCTGTTCACCGTGCCGTACACCCAGGCCTCTATTGAAAAATCAACTTTTGTGGAAATTCCACCAGTTTCGGCAATTACAGACACAGGCCGGATAGAATTCTACATATCAGCAAGCAGCGAAGACTACTCTTATCTGTCCACCCGTGTGAAAATCACAAGACCGGATGGAGCAAATCTGCCAAATGGTGCAGATGTGGGTTTTATAAATTATCCGGGGTGTACACTCTTCTCGCAAGTGGATATAATGCTGGGAGACAGACTAATAACGCAATCCTCCAATACCTATCCATACCATGGGATAATTGAATGTTTAATCAACTATTCAGGCGACACATTGGATATGCAGTTTGGCACGGCGCTGTTGAGCAAAGATACAGGGGACACGAATCTTTTCCAGCAAAGCAGTTTCAACCCATGTTTTATAGGGAACAATATGCAAGAGAGTATTACCAGCTGATTCATACCACGGGTCGACACCTAAAAGACAGATCGCTAGCTGTGATGCATCGTAATTTTGGACACAGATACACATTGTTCTGCTTCAACCTAGAGCCGGACGGTGGGTTTTCAGGAAATGTTTCTCTCATCGAAACAGGAAATGTGAGACTTGAGACTCATTTCAGAGTACCATTTGCTATGCAGTTTTTGACTCAGTTATTGAGATATCCAACAGGAGACAGGTGCTCCTGGATTACTATTAAAATGGGTATGAATATGCTTGAATTGATGAGTATTGTGTCCAGAAAAATTATTTACGGTACAAATTTTCTAGGCGTCATGCCATGTGATGAGATACCAAAATATAAAATTGCCAAATTACCCACCCTGTTAATTGTAAGCACACACCCCTCCACCAAGCCTGGTGAGCTCTGGGTGGCGATGTACATATCAAGACACAGAGAAGGATGTTTTTTTGACAACTTTGTTAACCTGCCTGACAGCATTAATTTTCCCTCTGAGATAAAGAGATTCCTCAGGAAAAACTCTTTGGTTGTGACTTATTCAAAAAGAAGAGTCCAGGACCATCAAGCCAAGACCTGCGGACAGCACTGTGTGTTTTTCTTATGTCAAGTACAAAAAGGACTGTCTTACGGCCGTGTGATGAAAATGTATGCTCCAAATCCACTGTGTAATGATGCCATGGTCTGTCGATTTGTCAACAAAATACAACTGGGTGTATGTAGCGGATATAAATGTATTCAAAGTGTGAAAATGTAGTAGTTTATGGTTTGAGAAATAAAAACGAGAGAAAATGAGAATGTGTCAATGAGAAATTTTGATTTTATTACACACGTGCACACACAGTTTAATCAACAATAACAAAGTAAACAACAACAGTGACAACAACAATAATACAAATCAAAAAACAAAAATAAGAATTCAGAATAATTACAACAATGACAATAATCATGAAAAGAAAAACATAGTTACAAAATAGAATAAAATTGATCAAAAATGCAACTAAGTGTTAGCAGACCCAGGTATCCTTACAGGAGAGCTGTGTGCATTTGGGTCAGAGAGTTTTCTTTTTTTCCCAGCATGCGCTAAACCCTTTTCATAACTGGCTATAGCACTATGGACTTGTGTGTTGAGTATTGTCGATAACGGAACATTTAGATCAGCCACGGTTTTCAAAAAAATATCCCACCCTATTGGTCTCAAGGTACATAATGTGTATTGTGGTGCCGTAACATTTTTTACCAAATCGAACAAGTGTGATCCTCTTATTGTTCGATTGTTGACAATAATCTCACCCTGATCTGTCCACGATATTACATTTTTGGCCTGTGACAATGTGACAAAATGTGTTCAACAAGTGTGTGTCTCATCCCCATGCAATGTATGTTCACCGCAGTGTGTGCATGCGGCTGTGTGGCACCGATGCGGTTTGTTACCTTTTTTGTAAATTCTCGAACATGCATCACAATACTTTAGGGTGTCGCATGGCACAATGCTGTGTTTAATGTTTTTCAAATTGTGATTGTCAAAACACAGTCTGGATTTACAGATTTGTTTGCATGTTTGACACGTCACACTTAAATCTGTGGTGGTCTGGCACTGGGTAAAACATATTTTACATATAACACTACAGTTGTGCCACAGAGGCTTGTCATATGTCTTGTAACAGTAGTCGCAAACATGGGGCGCCCCGAAAAACCCCTGCTTGTTTTCAATCAGGTATGTAATGGAGACGACTGGTTTTTGCTTTTCCGCTTTTAATTCACCCACTAAGGAATGCAGGCTCCCCTGATCAGGAGAGGAGATGGGAGTAACGTTTCACACCAAAGTTATGGCCTTTTTTACAATCCAGGGCAGAACCAAGAGGTGCTCTCCCAAAAGTCTGATAGTTAATCTTTTACACTTCAAAGAGACAAAGTTGCTTATCAACGACAGGACCCCCAGACCGAATAAACATTCAGCCTCTCACCTTGGCTGGGACAGCTCATAGTTGACACCTCAGCTTAAGGTTGACCCAAAGATCATGAGAGCTCGAACCAAGGCTTCATTTTGACGCCAATCCCTGAAAAAGACCCCTGCCATAAATTCTCTGAGTGACTGTGTTTTTCCTGTGACTCTCTCTAGGTGCAGAAGGAAGAGAATGACTGAAAATGGTTTAATTTCAGATTCAATGGACACTTCACCAGGATTTTCTATCTGTACGCCACATTATCCATGAAACAGACTTTGTCCCATTTGTCTAGCATGTCTACAAGCCAAACAGTTAACTTCACAAATTTATTCAAGGTTTTTCCATGGACCAAGAGCTCCTCCTAATGGTGATTTCTGAATATGGAATCCAAAATACTTATTTCTTTAATTTAATTATGTGCATTTTATATACTTTGTAGCTTAGTGAATGGTATTCTCAAGATAGGTTAGCAATTTTAGAAGTAGTAACTGAAAACTCTTTTATACTTGAGTTAAGAGTGTTTTGATCGTTTAAATGCTATGTTTTTTTTATCTTCCTCACCAGAATGTATATTTTAATCAT